GAGATAGCACTATATAGTCGGCATCAGATCCGCGCTATCACAAGGCGACAAGTGCACAAACATACTCAGTCTCCAGCACACATACACACATACACACATGCATGCATCCACCACCTACACGGAGGCACGTCTTTAAATGACCTTAGCTGTTAATAAGACGTTAATTTTTTTTTAAACCGAACCAAACCTACCTACATGTAATAATTCATCCTGGGAAGATATACAATACCACTCAGACTTACCATGAATTTCGTTGTTTTCTACCCCATTACTCCTTATGTAAAACAGGAATATATCACGCATTCCAGGTATCTGAAACGACCAAATTAAGCTTGACACTTTTTAAGAATAAATGTTAGGTTCAAAATAAGCTCTCCATGTGTCTTTATACTATTATATAAGAATATGAACTCCATTAGCCATTTTTTTTTCTTTCCTTTATATATGTACTGCATACATGTATGAATACATCCAACAAATCTTTCCAATTGTCAATATTTTACATTGTTTAATAAGTATAAAAACCAGCTTAGTCTATACAAGCCTACCCTAAAGATAGCATCGTTGCATGAAGTAGGGCATTACTATTCAGACAGTTGCTCTTTAATAAAGTTATCAACCAGAAAACATTTAAATTATATTTCTTTCGAGTGTACAGCGCGGACAACATAATTTCTCAAAACTTTTACCAAAGCGAAGTGCTAAACATTTTCAAGAAGAGGTCAACTTGGAAACGTTTGCATGCTTGGTTTACGTATCGCAGCATTGTTCTGTTCGGGGTGCCGTTCACGTTTCGGTTTGTTGAACATTTAATGTCGTGACACATGCAATGTGTTTCTTTGTATACGCAGCACCGATATATTTTAACTACTGTTGGCGAATCCCAGCGATGTTTTGCTAGTCGGAATGGATTTTTTTTTTCATAAAGTGCAAAAATAAATTAGTACGTCAATGCAAAAAGCCAAACAAAGAAAACATTTTTTCTGTATCCTTTGACTCAATATCCTATGGCCATTTCGTGTCTTTATTTGTGTACAATGCTTGTAAGTGGAATATGTTTTTTCTAAAAGAGCAGCGGGAAAGACTCTATTGGACATTGGTACTGTTCGTTAAAAATGAAAGATGCATAGTTACCCGTATCTTTTGACCACGTAAAATATAACAATGATATTACAATGATAGATACATACATGCATGAAAAGTTGGTGAGTAGAAAATCTATTCAACGAAGACTTTTGAAAACCGTATTGCTACCAGATGTTTTACCATGTTTTCAAGCAATCCACTTTGACAGATCAACATGGGCCCAATCAAACCGGCGTGTACTTCGCTGATGACGTCAACTCCGGAAGTGTAGAAGCTTGGCATACATGGTAAATTGTAGGCTGTAGGACCGGTTAACTCAGACACGGTCCAATAGTACGTCTTCAAATGACCCGGATGTATCGGCGCGGTATCTAAAAAGCACAATACAACAAGTATAAGTTTACATATACTTAATATATTGCCTTGATTTTAATCATGTTCGTCAAACAATCTCAAACATTTTTGCTAACAGGACACACAAAAATAACCTTCCTAGGACATTACACTCCTTTTCCAAATGATGCAATTTCGTAATCGTAGACAGTAAGGCATTCGGAAGCCTGCTTCTTCTATTATTTGAGACACAGCTCGAGTGAATCTTAAGGATGCCCGTGCTTTTTCCTAACATTGCAACTATGCATTGGGAACTGATTTTACCGGTCTTACTATAGCTTTGATAAATCATTTCGGAAAAGACAATCATATCCTGCCAGCTTTTATAATGAAATAAGAATGCTAAGCCGAGATTCGAACCCTGGACCTCATATTGTTATACTGTTGCTATAACCGACTGATATACCTTGACAACGGAAGTACCGTGGCTTAACCTTTGCTACAATTATCACCAAAACGAAATTAAGGGAAGGTAGGTGCGTGTACGAAAAACCTGGGTGCAGTGGAACAGACATCCTTAAGCATGATTAGATTTTTTGATTACTATACATACCGATCGTGTCATTGTAGAATGCGCCCTCGTTGTATTTGTGGACACGAACGCCTCCATGGGGCTGTAGAGAATGGGAACGTGTGTCGTTATTCTTTACGACAATCTTTATCGTATCTCCAATTTCTGCTTGTAGAAGTGGACCAAGTACACCCAAATAATCGTTGTCTCTTGTACGCATCACTTTCGTTGTGAACCTCGAGTCGACATAGGGGACAAAGCTCACAACTCTGTAATCGAAAGAGGAAAGTATTAGCTCACGTCTGATACTGTTAATCACTTTTGCTTCGCGAGAGATTAATATTCGTGGTAATGTGAAGAGTGAGTCTTTCGAGAATCAAAATATTTTCCGAATTCTGCTCAGAGAGATACTTACTGTTATTATTGAAATAGCATTCTCTCAATCACGAATTCATTTTTTTTCAAAAAAAAACTTCAAAGCTTGCAGAAACAAATGTACGCAAAATTTGAGTGATAAAAAGTAACATGAACATACAAGGGATTTTTTCTGTGAGAAACTAAGTGCTTGATTGAGATATAAGTCCCAATGAAATCAACGTTAAAAGGACATTTTAGCTTTGATATATAAAGAAGCATAATACATGTATTTTGTTTTCTTTATTTTGTGTTATCTATTTTTTCATCGGGGAGCGGGGTGATTCTTAGAATGACTTCACAATATGAGTATTTAGACGAAAGGGTTATGTTAATCGAATGGATATTTCGAAAACCGACTCAAGACGTGAGAAATTGATTTAAATGTGATAAACAGAAAGACAGGTTACACGTATCTTTCTTTTTCATTTTCACATACAAGTTAACGAAATGACAATTTTTTTATTGTGAAAAACTAAAACGTTTTTGTCTGTATTTACCTATTGATACGCTTAGCGTCCTGCCGCAACGAAAACAATACTAGTAAAACACGAATATGATGTATCATTAAGATGGAAGGCCAATGATTTTGATGACCGAGTTATCTCCCCTAAGCCATGTATTGTAAAGTTGTCGTTCCGTTCCAGATGTCAAGTTTATAGATGATTAAATATATTACGGAGATATTTGATAGTGTTTGACGAAAAGTTATTTGTAGTTATTTGAACGTTGCTTTCAAAGCAAAAACCGTCTTACCCATCTTTGGGTACTTACGCGTCGCTTCGACCCGGAAACATAACGCTGTCAATGGCGATGTAGTACTTTCGGATGACCCCGTTTACCGCTAGGTCTATAGGCGGATTGCCACAGTCTGCAATAGTCACCATCGCCTGCATTCCGGCTGAATATACAGAATAAAACTCGCATATAAAACATTGTATTGATTTGCTCCTCATATCCCCTTCAGATGTGCACAACGTGTAACGGTACAGTACTGTTATACAAACGGTCATATAGATAACAGAAATAGCATTGGTGCTAACACGTCTTCCTGTCATAAAAAGCTACCAGTTTCTTTGAAAATCAACCAATTATTTACTAGTATATCATCATTTTGTGCACTCTAATCTCAGTTTTGTCATTAACCTATAAATCAATCTTCTCTTTAACTATGGTATATTTCTTTTAGTTAAATAAATATAAATTTGATAAAATATATGATTGAATTAAAACTCCATTGATTGTACTGGTATACAGATTTTGAGATTTTAATAGTCAACCAAATCATCAAACGCATTGTCCGTGTTTTGGAGAATGTGATCTCGTTTCAGGTGATTTTACCGTAATACATTTGTAGTTTGATATGTATATACAAATGTTATAAATCACCTTTCATCAGTTTCGGATTTTGTGACGTCATCAGCCAATTCCCAGACTCCACAGCCTGAAACTTGGCATCTACCGTGAGTCCAGAAATTATGGGTACAGAAGGTTGTCTGAAACAGATAAATTCAACAACAGCTTATGCATAACTGTATCAGAATTTGCAGATGAAGCATAAAGCGAGAGAAGAATCGATCACCCTGATTAACACAGCTAAGCATTGCTCCAATGTATCATATACAGCTAGACCAAAATTCCTTTTCATTGAGAATGAGTAGAAATTATTTTAACCGGTAAACATTGGTAAAAATTCACACCGTAGTTCTCAAATATATATATCGAAATAACTACATACAAATATGTTTTCTACTTGGAAATAGATTGGGTCTAAGAATTTTTCGCGATATCGGATACGATTCTATGCCTCTAGTATCAATAAATTGGTGTTTTTTTTGTGTGTGTCAAATCTGATACCAGAATTCGTGTTGGTCGCCAGACTAAGATATACCTGAAATCCATGACAATTTTTAAATGGATAAGAATAACATACATAGAAATTTGACAAATGCGACAAATGCAAATATTTACCTTTTACCCATGTAGACAAAACTATGTCCATG